ACCATACGTCTGTAGCGGGACTGCGGTCTCCGGTACTGGTAATCGTCCATACGTCTGTAACGGGACTGCTGTTCACACAAAAAGACCACCGAGCATGCAGTGCGTGTCCTCAATGCTTATCTTAAGGAAAAGATCTAACCTTGACGATGTCTTCGAAATCTGCGATGCTGAACTGTTGGATTCAACCCTGTCTAAATTTTACACGGAGGCTCGCGTAAAAAATCAGAGTCTAGAGTTCTTTTTAAATTCTATTGTTGAAGTATATACTGTAAAACAGGTATGGGATTTTGTGCTGGTGTGATATGAACCTGAAAAAGGGATATTAACCTCGCGGCTTCACCTCGGTCAATATCACATTTTGTAGATTCATATCGTATCATATTCACCTGCATAAAAGTATTGTTTAATAGATAAGTTAACAATATGAAAGATGGTTATAATAAAATATAGACAAATGCATCATACATGCAATTGTTGTAATGTAATGAAAAAAAACAAAAACCTGTTTGCTCATGTGTAAAATTTATTGACTCAGGATCACCTGCACGTTTGTTTGGATTAAAGTCAGAAAATGTGTTTTTCAAATATCTGGGAGGAATACGGTTAAAGCAGTTATTGGTGTGAAAAAGATGATGATGCAAAAGCGAGAGATTGAATGAAAATGTGTCTAAAAATACTTATCTTTTTACTTTGTATGTCTAGTAAATTGTTTACCTTATAAGGCGGTATACAATTCCGCTGGACTGTCACTCCCTTCGGTTTGCCGTGATATTGTAGCTTGTATTCATCTTGGCACGACTTACTTTTTATGTCTAGTAGATAGTTTACGTTATAAGGCGGTATATAATTCCGCTGGACTGTCACTCCCCTCGGTTTGCCGTGATCTTGTAGCTTATATTCATCTGTGCACGACTTACTTTGTATGTCTATTAAATAGTTTACGTTATAAGGCGGTATATAATTCCGCTGGACTGTCACTCCCCTCGGTTTGCCGTGATCTTGTAGCTTGCATTCAATTTGGCACGACTTACTTTGTATGTCTAGTAAATAGTTTACGTTATAAGTCGGTATATAATTCCGCTGGACTGTCATTCCCCTCGGTTTGCCGTGCTCTTGTAGCTTGCATTCATCTGCGCACGACTTCCTTTGTATGTCTAGTATATAGTTTGCGTTATAAGGCGGTATATGATTCCGCTGGACTGTCACTCACCTCGGTTTGCCGTGATCTTGTAGTTTGCATTCATTTTGGCACGCCTTACTTTGTATGTCTTGGAAATAGTTTACGTTATCAGGCGGTATAGAATTCCGCTGGACTGTCACTCCCCTCGGTTTGCCGTGATCTTATGTTAAGAGTAACTTCTCCGTTGCAGTCAAAGTTGTGAATTTGTAACGATACAACTTAAAAAAATACTTTAAGACACATTTTGGTTTTTGCTATTTTCTACATACTTTACAACGCTTTATACACTATATATGGATTTTCATTTCTTTTTTAATTATACCACCGACGAGCCTGGCATGGCCGTAATGTCCATATGGTGCAAATATGTACTTTGTTTAGTTTTCAGTGTCTGCTAATTAAATTTTGAAAAAAAACACATTGAAGTGTTTCCTGACTTTGTTTTTCTAGTGATTGTTTTGCACACAAAGAAGAAAAACACCCACATTTTTTTACATTTATTTATTTTTTTAGCAATAATAGTTATATTGTATGATATAACGTACTCGGTATGGCTAAGCACAATCTCTCAAATTCTGAAAATAACTTTTAAATAGATTAATGATAAATGTATTTATTCTTCAAAAATAAACCGTTAAAATAATTGAAACTAAGTTGTACAACTAATGTCGATCTTAGAACGGCGGTGTCTATATAGATGCTTGGTCTTGTTCATATGAGCCGTGTTAAGATGTCAGCTTGTGGTGTGCTAGTATCCTACTACTGCTGTATTTGGGTAGTAGTTGGAGGTTGGGAAGGCTGAGGGTACGCCGAGCTTTGTCCGGGTATCTCGTGTGTAGTCGCAGGTTGGGGAGGCTGAGGGTACGCCGAGCTTTGTCCGGGTATTTGGTGTGTAGTCGGAGAAGGATGGTAATCCACTGCTTGGCCAGAGAGTACGTACACCGGTTGTTGTTGTTGTTGTTGTTGAGTTGGAGGACACGCCGGTCCTGGTTGGGGGGTAGATGGTTGGATTGCTATCCTGTTTCCTAATTAAGAGAAAGGGGGGAAGGTTACTCCTTTAATTCTGAAATTCATAATCAATGTTTCAAAATGTTTTTGAATATTGGTCAAGTTATCAGGATATCAGCTAACTTTATATTTTAGTCAGACAGCTTACTTTATACTGTAGTCGGTACAGCTTACTTTACACTCTAGTCAGTACAGGTTAATTACTATTGTAGTCAGTATATATATGTATGGTCAGTTCAGCTTACTTTATACTGTAGTCAGTACTGCTGTACTGACCACATATTATATGTACTGACTACAGTATTAAATAATCAGTACTAACCACAGATTATATGTACTGACTACAGTATAAAGTAAGCTATACAGACTACAGATTATATGTACTGACTACAGTATAAAGTAAGCTGTACTGACTACAGTATAAAGTAAGCTGTACTGACCACATATTATATGTACTGACTACAGTATAAAGTAAGCTGTACTAACCGCAGATTATATGTACAGAAAACAGTATAAAGTAAGCTGTACTGACTACAGTATAAAGTAAGCTGTACTGACCACATATTATATGTAAAGACTACAGTGTAAAGTAAGCTATACAGACCAAAGTATCAAGTAAGCTATACAGACAAAAATATAAAGTAAACTGTACTGACTACAGTATAAAGTAAGCTGTATTGACCATATATTATATATACTGACTATAGTATAATGTAAGCTATATTGTCTACAGTATAAAGTAAAATATACAGACTACAGTAGAAAGTAAGCTGTACTGACTACAGTAGAAAGTAAGCTGTACTGACTACAGTAGAAATAAGCTGTACTGACAACAGTATAAAGTAAGCTGTACAGACTACAGTATAAAATAAGCTGTACTGACTACAGTATGAAGTAAGCTATACAGACTACAGTATAAAATAAGCTGTACTGATTACAGTACAAAGTAAGCTATACCTGCTACAGTATAAAGTAAGTTCTACTGACCACAGGTTATATATACTGACTAAAGTATAAAGTAAGTTATACAGACTACAGTATAAATTAAGTTCTACTGACCACAGGTTATATGTACTGACTTAAGTATAAAGTAAGCTATACTGACCACAGGTTATATGTACTAACTAAAGTATAAAGTAAGTTATACAGACTACAGTATAAATTAAGTTCTACTGACCACAGGATATATATTCTGACTACAGTATACAGTAGGCTGTACCGACCACATATTTTTTGTACTGACTAAAGTATAAATTAAGCTACACAGCCTACAGTATAAAGTAAGTTATACTGACTACAGTATAGGTAATCAGGACTGACTACAGTATAAAGTAAGCTACATGTATACAGACTACAGTATAAAGAAGGCTGTACTGACCACAGATTATATAAACTGACTACAGTATAAAGTAAGATTTACTGACCACAGTATAAAGGAAGCTTTACTGACTTAAGTATAAAGTAAGCTTTACTGACCCCAGTATAAAGTAAGCTGTACTGACAACAGATTATGTATTCTAAATGCACACTGACCTGAAGAGTACAGAATATGTCCACCACTTGGCCCCTTCCTCTTACAGAGAAAGCACACAAGCACGATCAGTGATATGAGCATGCCGAGACCAACCAACGATCCGACCGTTATACCAACTATTATTCCAACGGTACCTTCCCTGTAATGGAGAAACACGTTTTTCTGTGTTAATTGTCATGTATACATGAAAGAAGATTTGGGCGATCTTAGTTTCAAACTACAATAATAATAATAATGATGGTTATAATATCGACATTTTATATAACGTCCCATCTAGCTAGATTAAGCCACTCTAACGCGCTTTACACTTACATAGAAATATAATTCATACAATCAGTAACCACTAGACCTATGCCACCTGATTTTTTTTTATGAGACTTGAAGATGGAGTAACGAGTAACACTGACTGTCGAGAATGGATTTGACCATATTGTACATGTAACAGCCATTGGGATTGTTTTTTTGACTTTTTAATTTTCTTTAGTTTTATATTTTTAATAATATTAACAAGCTGATCCATATAGTATTTCATATAATATCAATGGAACTGATCTTTCAATAACAGATAAATAACTTACATGTAATTATAAAGCACAATTAATTAAAATTTCACAACACGCTTATTAGTATACATCTAAGTCATTTACCGAGGAAACCAAATATGTAAGTATTTATTAGTACCTTACATATGTATAAGTGATAAACATAAAACATTTTTAAAGAATCAATGGGGTTTTAGAAATAAAATAGTATTATTGTTTATTTGAGCAATGCCCTCAATAAGTATTCGGGAATCAGTTTCATAACGGTTCTCTTACCTACAAAAGGTTCTTATGTTTCTTTGCATATGGTAGCGTTATTGGAGTTGAAGAGAAATCTAGTTAATTCAAAATGCTTTACCATATACAAGATGATTTTAAATCAAGGAATTTCCTTAATTAAGGAATGTTCATAAAACTTGTGGCTATTAGAATGGTACCCGAATACGTCACAGTATGCAGATGGTATGTATATACATGTGGCATTCCTGTAGATAGTTATAAAAAGCATGCCAGGCATTCAAACACGGTAAGGCACATAACGAAACAATTTCTGAAATGAAAAGGATTAATACATTTGTATGTATGTATTTTGTTTTCAATTCAATTCAATTTATTGACTGTAGGCCTTACGGCCCATGAGTACAGTTAACATATTATATACAATAAATAATAGGAATGTGTAAACAGCAAGACAAAAGTGGAGTACGAGCTCTTATCTTATTTGTTTCAAAAATAAATTTGCCGAGAAGGCTTAATTCCTTATTGTTATTGACACACAATAACTGTATTAATTTAAACATTGAAGGTTTTTGCCAACAGTATTTTTTGATATATCACATTTCGATACAAAATGATATTCGTCTTCTACTTCAGAAGTCGACCTACAAATTGCACAATATCTCCTATTCCGCTCGATATTTCTATAACGACCGGTTTCAATTTCCAAAGAATGTGTAGACATACGAAGTTTTGTTAAACATATTCTATATTTCTAAGGCATGTACTTAGTTAAATAAAACTGAATGGACAAATAGTTTACAATATGCTTAAATAAAAAAAGTATTTCGAGGAATTCTCTAATATCTCTAATAAACCCCTCCAATATTGTTGAGCTTGGTCAAAAATTCTTCGACGTATACAAGGTAAAATAGATTTAGCATTCGATGGTGATTGGCTAAGCCATACTTCACCGAAACCAAGAGTATATAGCAACTCCTTTATATAGTGTACCCAATTGAAGCATACACCGGTGTTTTTCTTTAATAAAAACTCATATACAGTTACAAAATACAATTTTTATGTCGAGCAGTTTAAATATTTAATTATTCTATACCTTCTTGTATATTCTAGAGGGAAACGACCAAGTTCCCAGTAATTGTACTGGGGGCTTATCTATTCGACTCTCATATATATAGGTCAATCTGTGCAGGTGCCGCCTCAGCCTTCACCATCTAGGATGATACCAGTAGGTTTTCCCTGTCTTCAATTTAGGAATATTTCTTTTCTCATAGTTTCCTTTCATTTGAGTAATTTCTTTAATTTCAAATATTTGTTTTAATATTTTCAGTTTCCTATTTCTTTTATTTTCGGAATTTAATTGATTACTTTTCAGACTTTCAACATTTCAAAATAAATCGTTCATTAGTGCTTAATACAGTGTACGTGCTAGAACATTTCAGCCTTCATCATATACAAAATACAAATGTATGTATGTTCCCTCGATCAATCAATATTTTTTCTTAATTTTGTAAAATGAATATACAGAGTTAAATAATCTTTAATCCTTACTTTGAAAGCAAAATCAGATGATATAGGAATATATAGGGACTATGTATTTATCACAGATACAGGAATTTTTTACTGTATTTTCAACCGTTTTCTTTATTCTTATATATTCGTATTTTTTTCTTCACAATGCAAGGCGACACTTTTCGGTGTTTTGAAGATTCTACATATTAAGTTTGTTAAAAAATATCGAAGCAAACATTTTCTAAGAAAGTGTGTAGTATGAAACACAGGTAATCTCAGGTGAATATTTATGTGAAAATACAGCCTTTATATAAAACAATATATTATTGACTTGCCATTGTTTCATAAAACAACACCTGCCTGTTGTTGGTAAATATGTTGGCACTCAGAGAACACTCCCAGGCCAGCAATAGCTCTACGCAAGGCTATCCTCTCAGTGTAACAGTCTGCCTTAGGTATTTTTGTCCTAGGTATTGTTTCGTCTCACCTAGCATACATTTGGTATTTTCATATATACAGGTAAGGTGTTGGATGTATGATAGGTGAGATTTGGTGTCAGTTAGAGAACAAAAGGATTTAATTACAGATAAACTATAGTCTGTACTATAAAGTGTCTTACCGTATAAATGCATACATAGGGAAACAGGACAGCACTTATCGTTGTTGTTAAATTCTATTTATTCAGGATATTTCCATTTCATATATCAAACTCTTCATCATAAGATAATATCCATTTTTTCCGCCTCATGCTATACACTTCCTCAAAATACTACTTTTCATTTTTCACTTTAAGTACTAGACTTCATCATTTTCCGATTCAGTTGAAGGGTTTCAAGAAATGTTTATTATTTTTGAAAATCATTTTAAGCAGTGAAATTTAGATGCAAATTTAGACAAAACAAGAATTATATTTTTTCATAAGGGAGGAAGAATTTATAACTATGAAAATATAGTATTACAAGTATAAAGGTAGCATAGCAGAATGTGAAGAAAGATTCCCTTATAGGGGTCTAACTTTAAGCTCAAGTAATAAATTCAATAACATACAAAAACAATTGGCAACTCAAGGGCGTAACTCTACCTTTGTATCTTTGTATCATTCTCTAAATGCTCAAATTTGCAATTAAAGATTTAAACCATGCTCCATCTTTTTGATACCGTACTTGTTATGGAAGTAAAGTCTGGAGTTCATGTATGTATGTACACTGTATGTAGAAAAAAGTTCATCTGAGCTTTTGCAAGAAATTATAAAATGTGAAAAAAGTTATCAAATTATAATATGATATACTGTGAATTTTGTCGCTTCCCCTTGGAGGTAATCAGCAACCGGTTTAAAAGTATAAAATATTAGGTGGATATTCATTTAGTGAAATCTTTATTGTATCAAACAAGTATGGGTTTTAGTAAACTTCTGTGGTGATAGAAATGTTTTTATTGGTTAAAACTGTAAGGGTTGGTATTTATAAACCTTATGTTTTTTGTAGTTATGTGGTTGAATCCCTAGTGTTAGTAACCAAATAATTAGAGATACAATTATTGATCAAGGTGAACAGTCTTCGATAGATAGTTCATCAAGTTGTTTTCATGTAATAATAATAATAATAATTCGAGGTTCTTATATACGGCTTTATCACAACCTAGTTCGTAGGTCGTCTCAAAGTGGTTCACAAATTATTAACCGTGGTACGTATACCTTTCTCAACTCCCTGGGGAGCATACAGCTGGAGCTGCCATTTCGGCGCTCACAGCTAGTATTCTACAATTGTTGCACTGCCTAACCCCGTACACATTTACAGCTGAGTAGACTGGAACAAGCGGAGTAAAGTATCTTGCTCAAAGATGCTTTACTCCACTGTGCCGTGCCGTGACTCGAACCCGGAACCCTTCGGTCTCGAGCCCGGCGTCCTACCACTAGACCACCGTGCCTCCTTTAACAACTTTTGGTACATTTTTTTCTCTTCAACATTACACAAAAAATATAGAATATGTCTGACCAGATTAAGTGCTTCTTAACATTCATTGGCACTGTGAGATATAAAAATGTTATAAGAGAACTAAATGGCATCGGAAGGAATGCAACTCCACATACATAACAGATGAATTTCACTTTCTAAAAATATGTGATAAATTTCAAAATCCTAGAGCACGGTTTATTGACAAAAACATTATTGGAAAACTCTGTTAACGCTATTCATTTGTTAAGTATCCAATATAGTAAACAGCTTTGTATGTTAGGAAAATTATCCTTAAATTAAGCTATCAGAACCCCCTAACTAATTATCTTGTATATAATGATCATCGATCATCTCAGGTATCATGTATTTACTGATGGGCCCACGGCTCAAAGTTAGAATAAATCTTATCAATATTGACATTTGCGATGTAATAAAAAGTGAAGATTATAATAACATTTTTTAGACTATAACCAATTTGTTATTAGGTGTGAAAATAGAAATGTATGCTAGGTGAGACTAGGTATTTTAGAAATGTTTGCTAGGCGAGACTAAACCAAACATACACACACAAACACACATATATGTATCACCTGCAGGCAACAAGAGTTATAAAGCAGTTTTTAAACAGTCAGATTCAGTGATCATTTGTCAAAAGTTGATACTTCTTTAGTCAAACGCATTGTTATACATGCATCTTGTCAAATGCACACAAATTCCACACATAATTGTGTTGCAGGAAAATTTGACCGAATTAAGTGACAAAAGATGTTCAAGTGGCGAGTGAACTATTTGACTGCTTGATGTATCATGTAACCTGTGACATCAAAACTACTTACCCACGGTTGTGACTATAATAGCAGTATTGATAACCATTATAATAGTCGCAGTCCGCTTCAGCTTCTTAAATAACAGACACACAGTATATTAGACAAGCAGTTATCGATCAATGTATACCAAATGTTATGAAATCAAAATCTTCTTAAGCTCGAATTTATCAATTGTATGATAGTCTATTTTCAAAATTGGATCGAAATTTTGTCATTTATACTATTTACGTACTGTTCACATCACTTATAAAGGAAATATAGTTTGGGCATTAAGTTAGGAGAAAATCATCTCAGAGCGTATATAAAACAGAGGAATCGTCGTAAATGATAATAAACTGGGAAGCCGTCTTTAAGGATAATGTAAGAGGAATAAACATCAAGGATAATATAGAAGGTATATCATAAAAGATAACAGAGAAGGATTTTTAGAGAATAATAGAGAAGGTTTTTGTTAGAGGATAATGGAGAAGGTTAATAATATATGATAAAGAAAAAGGTTTATCTTAGATGATAAAATAGAAGGTTAATCTAGAAGATAATAGAGAAGGTTTATCTTAGAGGATACTAAAGAAGGTAAATGATATATGCTAAACGAGAAAGTTTATATTAGAGCATAAAAGAGAAGGTTTATCTTAGATCATAAAAGAGAAGGTTTATCTTAGAGGATAATAGAGTAGGTTTATCTAAGATCATAAAATAGTAGGTTAATCTAGAAGATAAAAGAGTAGGTTTATCTTAGAGGATACTAAAGAAGCTAAATGATAGATGCTAAAAGAGAAGGTTTATCTTAGAGCATAAAAGAGAAGGTGTATCTTAGATGATTATAGAGAAGGTTTATCTTAGAGCATAAAAGAGAAGGTTTATCTTAAAGGAAAATAGAGTAGGTTTATTTTAGATGATTATAGAGAAGGTTTATCTTAGAGGATATAAGAGAAGGTGTATTTAAGAGAATAATAGAGAAGGTTTATTTTAAAGGATAATAGGTAAGGTTTATTTTAGAGGAAAAGAGAAAATGTTTATGTCAGAGGATTATAAAGTAGGTTTATCTTAGAGGATAATAAAGTAGGTTTATCTTAGATGATTATAGAGAAGGTTTATCATACAGGTTAATAGAGAAGGTTTGTTTTAGATGATAACAAAAAGGTTTTTCTTCGAGGATAATAGAGCAGGTTTATAAAAGAAAATAAAAGAGGAGGTTTATTTTCGAGAATAATAGGAAAGGTTTATTTTAGAGGTTGAGAGGGTAGGTAAATGTTAGAGGATAATAAAGGAGGTTTATTTCAGAGGATAATAGAAAAGGTATATTTTAGAGGATAAATTGAGAAAGTAAATGTTAGAGAATAGGAGAGAGGGTTTATCTTGGAGGATAATAGAGAAGGTTTATTTTAGACGATAAGAAAGAAAGTTAATGCTAGAGGATACTCGAGAGGGTTTATCTTGGAGGATAATAGAGAAGATTCATTTTAGAGGATACGAGAGAATGTTTATCTAAGAGGATAATAGAGACTATTTATATTAGAGTAATAAAGAATGTTTATATTAGAGGATAAAAGAGATTGCTTATCTTAGATGATAGCCATCTCTATTATGTTAATTAGTCTTCTCTCTTATCCTCTATAATAAACCATCTCCATTATCCTCTAAAATAAACCTTCTCTATTATCTTCTAAAATAAACCATCTCCGTTATCCTCTTAAATGAACCTTTCTTTATTATCCTCTAAAATAAATCTTCTCTATTATCCTCTGAAACAAACCTTCTATATTATCCTCTTAACAATAGATGATAAAAGATAAGGTTTATCTTACAAGATAATAGAGAAGGTTTATTGTAGAGGATAATAGAGAAAGTCTATTTTAGAGAATAATAGAAACGGTTAAGGTTAGAGGATAGTTGAGAAGGTTAATGTTAGAGGATAAAAGGATCATAAGAATTGACAAAAAATCATTTTCTCTTGGTATTTGTTTCCAAACAATCCCCAATCTATCGGAATGCTTTGATTATCATATATGCATATTTGCATAACCATTGTATGAAAGTTTCAACGAATTCCACTGGTTAATTGAGAAAGGGTTGAGCCACCTTATGGACCAAGAAAGAGAACTGATCGTGGAGAATATATAAAGAATGGTTGCCTTAAATGATACCAAACATTGGAAGATACTAAATGTATTGTATGAAAAAAATGAGAAAAACCCCAACAACAACATCACCAACGAACGAATGCCAATATGTACACAAAACAACAAATCGAACAAAGGTCAAACAATGGCAAATAATTATATGAATTAAGTAACGATTTAATCTTGAAAAAAAAGACTCAGAACCAGGAAAGTGATAGAAAACCAAACGGCAAACGGTTTAGCATTTTCAAAGGCAAATTCACTTCGCACAAGAATATCGAATACTTCCATATGAGACTATGACTATCAGCTGCCAGGAAGTTCTCACGAAAATAGAAAACAAGCGTTCCAATCCAACGTCAATGTAATGAAGAAACTAGGCAATACGGAAGTGTGAACAAGACAAGTATTCAAACTTACAATCAAATGATAGAATTGAAGGAAAGGTAGACCAGATGTTCCGTGATGGACAGCGTCATCTGTTTCATCGACCACATCCGCCAAGCAAATATAGGTCAATTTCAAGTAATGTAGTAATGTCACGTACTCAAAGTAGGACCAGGAAAGTGATGAAACGAAACCAAAGGGCACATAAATGAACATTATTTATCTCACAAGGAAAATCCACTTTAGTAAAGGTACGACTCTGCAACTTGGTACACACTAGTTAAGGATGTCTTTGTAAATTTCTTTCTTTATCAGATGTTAATAGATTTGTGTATAACGCACATCACAGTCTTTGTACATTTGATATAAATAAGATGATTCGCACTGTGTGATACGTGTATTTTACATTTTGTTTTTAAAACATCTTTTTGTTGTCACAATGAGTCATGTTCTTTGTACACCTTATGTGAATATAACAATAATGTTGTCAAACATAAAAATATGTATACTTACGTAAGACTCCAAGTAGTAGACATAACAAAACTAAAACACAACCAGAGGACGCCATATCGGAGTCGGGTTAAATGTTTCTTATCGTGAATTTAAAACTTCTATTTTGTATATCAAACATTTGAGTCTTGGCCAACCCAGGTACACTGACTTATCAGGGTGGTTAATAGTATACAGTGTGGAGAGGTCATGCATAGTTGTGTTTGACTAATCTATTTCCAGAGTTTCACATATTCGTGTTTTATCTTAATGTACCTTGATATTATTCTTTCTTTAGAAAGCTTTGTAGCCTCTGAAGCGTTGACAACGTCGTTGAAAAATATATAAAATACTTAAAAATCCGTCTATCTTTGAATGCAACAATAGCACACATTTTATATGTTAGTTATTTTGTGCCACCATGATCAGATAACATGGTACCCATAGTTCCCTCTTCTATTGATAATCGTCGAGATATTAATGATGGTCACTTACAAAACATGAGGTTGGGTTCTAACAGTTAATGTTTAAATGTGTTTCAGAAAGTGGAAAGTTCACATGTGTGTCGGACTTGAAACCAGAGTACTGTATTAAATAATAAATCAATGAATATACATGTACACTATTTGATATATAGCGCCCTATCTAGCTAGAATAAGACCACCTAAAGCGCTTTACAATACATAGATAAACAATTAATACAATTAATATCAATCAAATATATATTAAATAATACATTAATCACATTAATTTCGAGGAAATTGCAGGAGCTGCATTTTCGGGGGATAAGGACAAGTTCTATGTCACCTGGCTGATATCTCCCCATGTGTGTATGCCGGCGTGTGGGCTGGAGATATATTGTGTATAAAGAATGTTTGGTATTAAACATTGTGGTTATTAATGTACACACTATTATGTAACATGTTATTTCTATAGAACGACGAGAAATACATCTACCGTGTGTAAGTGAGAACAACAACAAAAAAGCATTATGCATTCGGACAATAACACTTTAATAGTAATGATATACAAAGAAGTTGTAATGACACATTACTGTTTCACTGAACACACAGAGACAGAACAGCTACAAACATGTGATCAGTTTCGATATGCCTGTGCATTAAATTACAGAATGGAAATTTATATTCTAAAACATAAACATAGTTCTGTTTGTATATCACACATGGACGCTTCAGTGCTATCCTGTTATGTACAGTTGTACCTCTATTTGACAGAATAAGGTGGAGGCTGTACAAATTGACCAGAGAACGCCAAGGTAGTCGAAGTTTGGGCAGATCCTTGTTGGGGATATGCTGTTCCTGAGTTGGTTTGGAAGCTGGACGTCACGTACCCTGAAGGAAGGAACACAATAGAGGCGTTGTTACCTCAAATATAGTGATAATATATATATTATAACGTTTAATATTTAACATAAAACTACATCATGATAATATTGTTATAGAAAATAGATCATCAGTAACGTACACCGTTATTAAGATTGTTATACCTAACAGTATACATTGCATAAACACGTTTAACGTTAAGGAAACATTAAGTGGAATGTTAATGAATCCAGTGACCGACCGTAGAAACAAGTTCCGGTATAAATAATACATTAAGAAAGACGACATGTCTAAAGCTATTCGATATTTTGTACTGAAACAGTCACGTGACAGGGATACAAACCAACATTGTCAAAATAGAGAAGGGACAAGAATATCCGGAAGTTTATTTTTATATCAAAAATGTGAATGTATACTTATTGTCAATATATATTTATGACAAATACTGATACTTGATCGAACATTTTGAACAGTATGTACATTATTTAAAGGCGATTCTAGACACCCATGTACATTGTATGTATATATAAGTTTATGTCATAAAATGTTGAAACTAAAAAAAAGAAAATCATTGCTTGACAGCAATTAATGTAGAAGATACCATGCACGTATCGAAGTAAGAGTGGGTTCCGAATGCTACAAAGTAAGTGACTAGTGGTGGGTAGGAGAAAACAATCGTTTCGTGTGAGACGGTTATACCTTCCATGTTGCTTGTATTCACTATAGCCACCGTGGGTTGTGCCGAGTTGTGATGAATAATTCGTGCACCTCTTGTTCCACTCTTGTTACATGCAGCACACAGACATACGACCATAGCTATGAACAAGCCCATACCCACTATACACCCGACCACCGTACCTGCGACGGTACCGCCATCCCTACAATACCAAACCAAACATGGACTATTTTGTACATGATAGTATTATATAGAATCCCTTAACATAAAGGTCGTTCAGCATCGTTTGTTTTGCAAGCCTGAAGGGTTTATCATATCACATATTTGAAATATTTCTTATAATATAAAAATATATATGAACAAGAGTTTCGCTTATGGGATATGTTACGAATGCGTCGTCATCGACACCACTATCGTAGCACTGTGCATGGTCACAACAGTCCCGCTTGTCTACAACCTGACCTGTCTGTTACGGGGACGGTAATCCCCATGCTAAGACTCTGGGTAATACCGACGTTAAACGTCCTATGGTCGCATTTTTATCATATTGTTTATTACTTGAAATCGCCTTAACATATTCGATTGTGTCGCTGTGACAGTTACTGTACGTGTACTTATAATGACATTACAAATACATGGTACTTACATGCCCCCGTAGTAGAAGTCATCGTCTATACAACAGTACCTGTTGTACCGTCTCCCACAACAGTGATAGCCAGACGAACAGTGTTTGTTAACAGAACCGTACGTGTTGCAACTGGTCCCGTGGACAGGAATCGCCGCACCTTTGTTTCCATGGGCAACAAAAGTAATAATTGTAGTCCCCATTTAAATCCATTTTAATGAAGTTTTCTTCAATTACATTATGTAGAGAACTAGAACATTTGAGAACTAGTTCTTCCGAAAAAGAACATATTTGGGTTGATAATTGTTCCAATATAATTATTTGCTATTATAGGTGTTTTTATATGTAAGGATTGACCTTCATTTTGACGGTATACGGTAGTATGGACGCAGTTGACAAACGACCATATTCTATGTTGTACGTTAGCGCTCCATAAAGAATATGTTCGTTGCCGACCTTCAAAAAGAAGGTCAATCCTTATACATGTATACATGTATAAAATCATAAGATAATAAATAACCACATTTTATGGTAAATTGGTATATGTGACTGATCCTACTTCTATAGTTTGTTTTGCCTTTTCTACTATGTCTTTATCTCCGTGTTACAAAAAAAAGCGTACATAAAGAAAAGCTTTACACGGGACTTTTCAATGGAGTAAATCATTAAACAGATGATATTTCACCATTTGTTTCCATATGTTTTTGGAGAAAATCATCTTGTAGTTATAGTTCTCTCTAATCAACACGCACACTTATAGAACTGTTTGTTAACGAAAGGAATCGCAACAATGGTATAGCTATTGACATTTTTCTAAATGTGTTAAGAAATGAAAAAGATGACAATATAAACTGAACACACTGATTGTGGTATCTTAATGAACTTTTTATTGGCTGCAGATTTCTTTCATCCTAATGAGTTGCACGTGGGTGCCAGTCATTCAGAGTTGGTATAAACATATTTGCATTTGCCTTGACCTTAATTACATTTCTCATTTGACATTAATACTGAATTATCAGCATAAATTGAATTAAGTATCAATCCGTAGTTAAAATTAACTAAATTTTAGAATAAAACAGTTCTCCAAATTATATGTTGAAGATTCAAACAAACATCTTTAAGCTGCGATAGGTCAAGTATGATTTCGAAATTGAGGTGTTGTAATTCCAAAATTATATAAACATACCAATTTAAATGGGATACATTTTACTATATCGGCTTGAACGGTGTTAAGATGTGTCTCAATTTACAGCATAATTGTATACAGTTGTAATTATATTCTGTTCATTTTCTGACGTTTCAATACGTTTTAGAAACAAAATCAAAATATATTATCTTGTATGGAAACATTTTTGACGGTTTTTGCTCAATATCGAAAAGAAAAATAGAAGAAAAAACAGCATATAAATGTATCATGCATTGCAATGTTTGCTACAAATCATTTGTTTTGTTTATCCATTGTCTACTTTGAAGAACACACTTTACAGTAAACCCCTGAATTCTGCAGACACCCCATACTCGTATCAAAATGCGTTCTATGCAATGACATATAGAGGTTGTGAAATTTGAATCAAATTGTTTGATCACTAAAAGGTAAATATAGGTTATATAGTAATCACATTATAAGTACTGTTTGTCAGTGTGTGTCCGTTCTGCCGTATTGAAAATCTTGTGTACAATATATTTTATGAACTCGCCGACAAATTCAGTTTATATTAACAACAAAGTATGGTGATATCAAGACACGATTAGATTTTGGAGGTTATCGTTAAAGGTTAAGAGGTCATAGGTAAAGGTTAAGAGGTTATAGGTTACAGGCAATGATCATTTTCGACTACTTACCAAGCAAACAGCTTGTAGAGTATGAATTCATCAATATATTTAGCTCATATTTACACAATGGTATGGTAACATTTAGTCTTGCATCTGATTTGAATTTCGAGGCAATCGGTCAAAATTAAAGGGTCAAATATCCCGCTTCATTACTATCAACCATTTCAATATCTATGTGAACCCCGCTCACCATGTTTTCAATTATATATATATATTCATTTGGGATATACATGTGAAACAATTAATTACAGTAGCCCTTCTCTTGTGTAGAAGCCTGGCTGTATGTTCATATTGCAAGTGATCATTTCGGCTGGTGTTTTATTTTTATTCAGACAGTTATTGTGCATACAAAGGCAATCAAGATTGAAACAGTTTAAGTTTTTTTTTACAGTTTTGTTAACGCCTCAATGGTTTTTTTGCGTGGTCAACATGAGGCCAATTTCTAGTCAGTTATGCATTTCTTGTAATTGTTACAATGAACAATAGATATAAGGTAGACTTTGGCTGTAGAAACGTATGTTTTCTAGTTCGTTATCTAGCAGCATAGATCAAGAAAGGAATGTGCACCTGTACAATATGAACTGAAATGCATTTTGTTTGTTAAAAAATCAATAAACCGAGGTGTACTAGGTATAAAGTTCCCTGTGATAAAGGTAAAAATTCACCAATGATCGATTGTTCATATATCTTTTAAAACTAATCAACAAGTAGCAAACACTATATAGTTGTCTGGTTATACTACATACAATTGAAAATAAATGGGAAATATCTTTTCTATAAAAGCATGATACATTAATTAGATAAATAAATAACGCAATTTAATATAAACAAAATCAGCTAAATAAGATTAACTTCGCCATCTCAAATGTTTCTTTTAACATTATTGAAAATTACGCTTTAGTAAAGTTTAATATTCGAACAATGCAGAAATGATTGTATGCATAGTATAAGTGACATAAGATGATAAAATACTCACCCAATAGGTAGAATATGAGGAACAGTAACTTTTCGGGATATTCAGGACGAACCATTGTTGTTTATAAGCACTTCCTGAATGTTTGTCTTATCTACAGGTAGGTATTCGGTACAATGTAGTCGTCTTTACCGCGGTTACATGTATTCCCTCAATGACGAAGGTATGTATAAAGCAAGTCATAGGTAGAAACATGTCCATGCATCATAGGTGTGGTTTTATGATAAGAGACATTTTATGCATTAAAAGTATGATACAATATCCTTTTCTTATTCGAACTTATCTTATCCAAGCCATTTTATTGTGATTGAACAGAAGATATAAAGTTAAGAGATACAAAAATATCAACAGTTATGTATGTTATCATAGTGTAATATCCATCGATGCGATTTCATTATGATCTATGATAAAACACGTATTCGTTATGTTTGAGATCATCGATGAACTATCTATATACGTCTCTAGATATAACGGGAGATAAAATGAATCCAGCCACCTTGGTTAAACGAAATTCTCAGGGATCAAAAGATCTACGTTTTAACAATATTGTTTATTAACAATGATTTGTTGTTTATTTTGGTGGCCCTCCAGACATTATCGTGAGCGGAATATTTCCATTTCTGAACGATATGTTATTATACCAACAACGAGTCGAGGTCTTGTGCTTGTGTGCTGAAGACGAAAGATAAATATTTTACTATTATTTTACCATTAACAACTTATCGATTTACATGTACATATTCAGGATTGAATGTGTTCGCCAACAAGATTTCGCTATAAGGAGCTGCATGCATGACCATTGGGCCGACATAAATTCATTTGAGTTCAAATAGAAAAAAGTATCGGCAGCACACGCAAATGAGGAGATATTAGCCAGGTGGCATAGGCCTAGTACAATGAATGTGGTTACATTGTAATGTCTGATAAGGCACTCCTACGAATCCTTCAAATATTTTTATATAAGGATATATTGTATTGATTGTACATCTAAGGACAGAAAAGCGCCTTTAAGTGGCATGCTATAACCAGGCACATGTAGAGCGCGATATCAAATATGTATTTTGAAACCGTTGTACATCACATGAGATAAAATAGCAAAATCGAATATTAAGTCGTATGTCAGATAGTTTGCTTGTTTATCTAATGGAATCTAAAGAGAAACCTAGCGAGAAACACAACGAATGTAATGTCATGTGCCCAGGAGGTCATAAACATACTGAAGACATATACTAAAAGCTAATATTATAGAAATGTTGAAAGTCAAAATTTATTTCTTAATTGGTTATACAAACTGAACCTTATGATAATGTAATGACGATTTGCGTTGTTAGTCATTTTTTTTTATTTCAATACTGTAATCTATAGGATTCTTAAATGTATCATTGCTAATCACAAGAAAACGACAACAAGAAGTGGGGATATATCAAAAAGGATTTATTAGATAAACTACATCTCCTTCATGCCTCCACACACGCATCGACCCGAAAAAAGAGCGAAAGCTGATCCGTTCTTTTAAGCAGTATCATGTGAATATTTTAGTAGTCAGTTGTGCCAAGGAAAAAAGTATGGGGTTCTGTGTTATTTTTAATTTCATGTTTTCGAGGATCAGCGAATTAATTATCGAAATTCGTCCTATTCAACGACAACAAAACATTACCATATATCTGAATATTATGTATGGATTGAGCAAGTTTTGTTTGTTTGTTCGGAGTTTAACGTCAGCGCAATAGGTAAGGTCATATTAAGATGGGATTAAGAAGGTATTTAGGCTCCTCCAATCCATAAGAGCACATAAAGCATACCGACTAGATATCTTACACGTAAAACTCCATCGAAATACTAATACACCATTGATCTATTCTTTCCTGCAATTCAACAAAGCGGTAGATTTCATCGGCTATAAATGTTTATCCTGCTAGGAGTAGGGTGCTTTATAAAGAAATATTTCAATGTTATATAAGCTTTAATAAAAACCAAACAATCGTTATGATAAAGCGTTAATTAGTTACATGTTCATTGATGATAAAAAAACTAACAAAGGAAACATTAACACTGTTACCTTTGGAAAAGCACTCGGACATTACGTGGGTATTTTCCAGAATGGTTAGCGTAGTCTGCTTTAAAACAACGAGATAAAGTTGCGACAAACCCGTAATACGAATTGAAAACCGATGAAACTTGTGAAAAAAAGAACAAAATTACATTTTACATGGATATCGTTGGAAATGTACAAGGAGAATAAAGACAAAGTTTTCAGGAAGGGTAAGCGATACGACTTCATTATTAGTCAGGTAATGTGATGTCCTAATAGGGATAACAAAACAACAGTACTCATTATCAAGGAGCATTATCAAACATTATTTACCTTTACATTACACAAAGGATCTGAATTTAAAATTAAAGGATTTGACAAGGCTTTTGTTGCCAGTAGCCTCATACGAAAACAAAAACAAGTCGATCTGAGGAGGACGGACAGTTATGCCTACAGTCGTACCACCGAACTCGTGATATTGATGCGTTTCCATGTCCATGTAGTTACTGTGAAACATCAAATTACGTTAGCATGAACAATTGACATCTCATCGCTTTTCAACAAGAGAGAGTTTTTGTGAGTTCGGCGGTGTCGAACTTGCTTCCCCTGTACATGTATATCACAGCAATTTTCTATGGGTTAGAGGTACGGAGACTTTGCAGGCTAATCTTTGTCTAGATTTATATAAGTGCTACTGAATTGACTTGTGTGAAGGGTTGTATTGCCTTGTTAAAAAATTTCGCCCGTTCCATGACTCTGCTTAAATTCGACAACGACAGGTCTCACAATTTTATCTCGATAATGGTCAAGTCATTTTCTTTCTTGACGACAATTACATGTAGCCTGGTTATAGAACAAATATTGCGACTTGACGTTCCAACTTTGGCTAAATTAGAATATTCCACAAGCGCACGTTCTCTCTCTCTCTCTCTCTCTCTCTCTCTCTCTCTCTCTCTCTCTCTCTCTCTCTCAGTATCTGTTTTGGATATAACATAATTGTAACAATATCTAGGAAGCTTAAGCAAAAGCAATGTAAATGTGCAACATGCAGTGTTTAATTTACTTCATTTGGAGATATAATAATTGTTTATACATGTACCGAATCCGTCCTTTATTAGGACAGCACTCTATTCCTCTATTTTTGGATGGGGCGTCTTTGTGGATAATTGGGAATTGTTTTTCCCTGTGATAATATAATGTATGCAAGACCGTTGCTGATTTTCTTTTCGCAATGAATTCGCGTTCATCTACATCACTAATAATTACGTCGTAGTTTGTAAAGATAAGGTTCCTTGCTATGCCGTTTAACAACAACGTTGTTAATTTTCCACAAGCTAACTTTACGACATATCTGTTATAACTTTGTGTGAATGATGAAGCTTGGCATAATTGGAGCACGACTGTAATACTCGTCCATACGTCTGTAGCGGGACTGCGGTTTCCGGTACTATAATACTCGTCCATACGTCTGTAGTGGGACTGCGGTATCCGGTACTGTAATACTGATACATACGTCTGTAGCGGGACTGCGGAATACGGTATTGTAATACTCGTCCATACGTCTGTAGCGGGGTTGTGGAATACGGTACTGTAATAAACGTCCATACGTCTGTAGCGGGGTTGTGGAATACGGTATTGTAATACTCGTCCACACGTCTGTAGCGGGACTGTGGTATCCGGTACTTGAATACTCGTTTATACGTCTGTAGCGGGACTGCGGAATACGGTACTGTAATATTCGTCCCTACGTCTGTAGTGGGACTGCGGAATACGGTACCGTAATACTCGTCCATACGTCTGTAGCGGGGTTGTGGAATACGGTATTGTAATACTCGTCCACACGTCTGTAGCGACACTGCGAAATACGGTATTGTAATACTCGTCCATACGTCTGTAGCGACACTGCGGAATACGGTATTGTAATACTAGTTCATACGTCTGTAGCGACACTGCGGAATACGGTATTATAATACTCGTCCATACATCTGTAGCGGAACTGCGGAATATGGTACTATAATACTCGTCCATACATCTGTAGCGACACTGCAGAATACGGTATTATAATACTCGTCCCTACGTCTGAAGAGGTACTGCGGTATCCGGTACTGTAATACTCGTCCCTACGTCATTAGTGGGACTGCATTAAACGATACTGTAGTACTCGTCCCTACGTCATTAGTGGGACTGCGGTATCCGGTACTGTAATACTTGTCCATACGGCTGTAGCGGGACTGCGGTAACGGGTACTGTAATACTCGTCCATACGTCTGTAGCGGGACTGCGGTACCTGGTACTGTAATACTCGTCCATGCATCTGTAGCGGGACTGCGGACTACGGTACTGTAATACTCGTCCATACGCGTACGTCTGTAGTGGGACTGCGGTATCCGGTACTGTAATACTCGTCGATATGTCTGTAATAGGACTGCGCTATCCGGTATTGTAATACTCGTCCATACGTCCGAAATGGGACTGCGGTATCTTGTACTGAATACTCGTCCATGCATCTGTAGCGGGACTGCGGACTACGGTACTGTAATACTCGTCCATACGTCGGTAGTGGGACTGCTGTATCCGGTACTGTAATACTCGTCGATACGTCTGTAATGGGACTGCGCTATCCGGTATTGTAATACTCGTCCATACGTCCGAAATTGGACTGCGGTATCCTGTACTGCATACTCGTCCATACGTCTGTAGTGGGACTGCGATATATCGATAATGTAATACTCGTCCATACGTCTGTAGCGGGACTGCGGTATCCGGTACTGTAGTCCTCGTCCCTACGTCTACGTGATGAACTTTTCACCAAGATAGTCAACGATTATCCGGTGCATGTGTATGTTGTTCTTGCTAACTCATGTAGGGAGGTGCAAATTGTGACATTCCTCGGCAGTCCATCTGCTTGCCATGAAAGACATATTTGTTAATGAGGACAGCCTGTTCACATCTTTTGCAAGAGATTGTTGTATTTATGCTGAAAAAGTATCCCTTCTTACGTTTAATTAACGACGATAGTCTGCCAGACATGTAAATCATATGCATTCGTATTATATCTGGTTCATCCTGGCAATTTGACAGTCCTGTCGTTACATAAATGTTCCCTTGCTGTTTGATATAGTCCTGTGTATGTCTTTATTTATCGTTGTG